TCACTTTAATAGCACTAAAAGAGCAAGATTAAGTCAGCAATCTCCCAGTTTGCCTCTGAACATTGTTTCCTGTTTAATTTAACATTGCCCCTTCTTCTTAGTACTGTAAAGCATGCCTTAAGAAAGAATAGTTTCATATAGCCAATACCTTTTACAGGTGGTATAATTAGTCTTTCATATATGATCAGAAATATTTTTTTTGCCTTCTTCCATACAAACAAAAAAAAGCATGGAAAGTTAAATACAGTAAAATATTGAAAGCAATTTCAGGTATAAAATATTAATACCACAGAAGTAGAGATACAACAGCTCACTGTAAATTATGGATTCAGTTTGATTTATCATCAATCAGAATGTTAAATAAAAATTATCATGTGTTTTGAGAAAAGAAAATGGATGCAGTTAAACTATGTCTTGAGTTAAGTGCAAAATCCTTCTCAAAATATCTGCTGTTATATTCTTCAAAGTCATATCATGGTGATTTGAAAATCTGAGTATCTCAGTTTTACTGGAGATAAAGAATCTCCTATAGTATGGGTCCTACCCCTTTTAGGTGACCTTCTATAGGAAAACTTCTATGATTTATATTCTCTCTCTCTTTCTGTCTCTCTGTCTTCTCCACCCTCCTTTCCTCCCCTCCAGCCACATATCCACACATATTTATGTACATACATATCAGAAAATCCTACCTAATTCTACATACATGTATATCACAGTTTCAAAATAAAATCTTTTATTAATTGGAATATAACAGACAAACATATCTTAAGTAATATTTCAATGAATGCTCACAAATAGAATATGTACATGTCACCATGAACTAGATCGACAAATAGAACATTAACAGCTCCCTGTCCTCTTTCTTGAATTTTTATTACTATTCTAACAGCTAATAGTATAGGTTAGCTTTACCGGTGTCTGAATTCCATGTAAATAGAGTCAAACAAAACATATTCTTTTGTGTATGTCTTGTTTCACTTGTTTGTGAGATTTGTCCATATTGTTGTAGTAGTATATTTATTTGAATTGATGTTTTATTTGTTATTATATGAATATGTGACATTAATTTATGCTACTCTTGATACACATTTGGTCGGTTTCAGTTGGGAGTATTTTGAATAATGCTTCTATGAAAATTCTTATATATATATTTTAGGTGTATGGATGGTTGTATTTATATTGGGTATATATCTAAGAGTAGAATTACTGAGTCATAGGAAATGTGTGGGGTCATTTTACTTGATACATTTTCCATACTGGTTGAACCAAGTTACAACCTCATCACACATGTATGAGAGTTCCAGATCCTAACAATACATTATCAGTCTGATTAGTTTTAGCCATTCTTATAGGTCTGTAATGTTATCACATCATTACTTTAAATTGCATTACTCTGATGGTGAATGAGATAGAGAATGTTTTTGTATGTTAATTGGTCATTTGCATATTCTCTTTTGTGAAGTGCCCATTAAGGGTTTTTTTTTTTTTTTTTGGTTTTTTTTTTTCCATTTTGCAGCTGGGTTTGTCCTTCTTGCTTACTAATTTGTATAGGTTTATTACATATTCTGGGTATTAGTCCTTTTGGTATGATCTGTTAAAAAATGTCTTCTCCCATTCTGTAGTTTACCTCTTTGTGTGTGTTTGTGTGTGTGTGTGTGTGTGTGTGTGAATTCTTTTTTTTTTCAAATGTACATAATTTACCCTTTATAATCTTATAATGATGTTTTTGAGGAACAGAATTATTAATTTTAATGTAGTCCAGTTCATCAATCTGTTTTTATAGTTGGTACCTTGTGTCATATTTAAGAGTTCTTCACACAGTCAAAAGTCATGCAGATATTTTATTGGGTAAACTTTTATATTTATAACAACAATCCATCTGGGATATATTTTCCATGTGGGGGCAGGGGGAGGAAGGGGACCAGTTTTTCCTTTTTTCCACATGAATATCCAACTATCCTTGCATTATTGACAGAAAAGACCATCCTTTCTCCACTCTTCAGTGTCTTTATTTGTTGTAAATTATGTGATATTGTAAATCATGTGGTAGGTTTATTTATGGATTATTTTGGTCTTTTGTTCTATTTGTTTATCTTTGTATCAGGATCATACTGTCTAAATTTCTATAACTTTTTAATCTGCAGTATATCTTTTTTTAACATTGTCATGAATATACTTGGCTTTTCATTTCTCTATAAATTTTATATTTTTATTATTTTTTAAATGTTTATTAATTTTTGAGAGAAAGAGAGAGAGACAGAGCATGAGCAGGGGAGGGGAAGAGAGAGGGAGAAACACAGAATCCAAAGCACAGAATCCAAATCCTCTGAGTTGTCAGCACAGAGCCCAACGTGGGGCTTGAACGCACGAACAGTGAGATCATGACCTGAGCCAAAGTCGGACGCTTAACCGACTGAGTTAACCAGGCACCCCTCATTTCTGTGTAAGTTTTAGAATCATCCTGTTAATATCAAGAGCAACATTTTCTTTTTAATAAAGGGTGGGATTTGTATTGAATTGCATTGAACCTATATATCAAATTGAGAATTGGTATTTCACAGTATATTTTGAACAAACATTTGCAAATATAATCCAGCTGTATATAAAGAGGATGATATATCAGGATGATGATGGGTTTAGTCACTGGATAAAATGGTTGTTTAATATTGGAATTTCAATTAGTGATTCACCATAACAGAAGAAAGAAAGAAAGAAAGAAAGAAAGAAAGAAAGAAAGAAAGAAAGAAAGAAGAAAGAAAGAAAGAAAGAAAGAAAGATATCACACAGTCTTCTCAATGGATGCAGGAAAAAAAAAACTTTGGATCAACTTGAAATGTCATTCATAATGAAAGCTCTTACCAAACTAGAAATAGAAAGGAACTTACTTAATGTCTTAAAGAGAGAAAATGACAACTTCTTCTCTGAGTCTGGGATCGGAACAAGGTTGTGCTATACCACGTTTTACTGAAGATCCTGGCCCGAAACAAGGAAACTAACTCAGACTTGTGACTTGGCAGTTGGCTTCTGCAGAGTGGCAGTTCCAACAGACAAGAAGTGGAAGCTGCCAATCTAGAAACGGGTGCAGTGTTGTTTCTAGTGTGGTCTCTTAGTTAAAGTAGTGACAGAATCACTGGGGTCCGAGAGAAAGGGACAAAGACCCGTCTCTCGATGGGAGGAGCATCAGAGAATTTATCACTGCTATTCTGCCACAAGTTCTTTTACAAGTTAGGAGCTAGTTATTTTTTGCAGTAAACTTGAGCCCCTAGCTTGATTGACTAAAAAATAATTAGTCATTAATTTGCTTCCTTGGGGTCTTCCTAGGCTGTACTCTACTGTTTTTCAGCACTGATGTTGCTATGGAAAATGTTGTGACAAGACTTGTTCTTTTCCCACTTGTTCTTTTCCCATAGAGCCAAAGTGGGTTTTGTATGTTCATTCTTCTCTTTTTTTCTCTTGGCCTAATGACACATAGATATATATCTGCCTCTATTTTAAGGGAAACATGTCCCTCAGGTATATTTCACATATATAATTTTATCTTAAATGTATATCTATGTGTACTGAACATATATTCAAGCGTTTAAATGCATATAAATATTTATATTTATATATGTGTATGCATGTATACACAAAGACTTATATCTCCAAACTTCTTATCCCCTCTTTTATGTTTCCATTATTCGGCTAAATTTTCTCAAGTATCTTTCTCCTGAGTTTTCCACAAATCTCTTTCTTGGGTTCTTGTAATGTGATTATCTTTCATTTTAGTTATTTTCTTTAAGCTCATGTATATATTTCTTGAATTCTTATTTATAGAGATTGTATTTTTTTTAATTTCTTTGACTTGTCTATAATTTTCACTTGCTTTAGATATGTATTCATAAGTTTGCAATATTCTTTTCCTCTTTATTCATCAATATACTTACAGCTGTCTCCTGTCGCTGCTGCCACTGGTAGTTCTCCTTCTGTTCTTCCTCCACCCCCTCCTTTTCCTTCTCCACTGGTACTTCTCTTGAACGAGTGTAATGGAGGTTTCTTTATTGATAGAGAAGAAAGAGTCAGCTGGCAGTTTGCAGTATGATCTCATAACTCTAGATTTTTCCCCATTTTGTTTCTATTTGAAGTAGTGAACTTGTCATACACCAGCATAGAAACCTTCTGGCTCGTAAGGATGTGAAACATGTCTAATTTGGGACATGATCCTTTAGATCAGTAGTGTAGATCAATATAATTTCTGTTCCACATTAGCTTAACAAGAACTTACTCCGAGCGTTCCTGGGTGGTTCACTCAGTTGGGCGTCTGACTTCATTCAGCTCAGGTCATGATCTCACAGTTCGTGAGTTCAAGCCCCACGTCAGTGTCTCTACTGTCAGCTTGGGGCCTGCTTCAGACCCTTTATCTCTCTCTCTCTCTCTCTCTCTCTCTGCCCCTCTCCCACTCATGCACACATACATGCTCTCTCTCAAAAATAAATAAGCATTAAAGCAAATTAAGAAAAAAAGAACTTACTCTGTAAACATGGTATATCAGAATGCTCAATAAAACTTAGGTCTCCTTTGGGGCTGGTATGGCCATTCCAAGCAACAAGTCATGGGGTTTACTCCTCAAGGTTAACCCTCTATTTTGTAAAGCCCATGATCTATCCACCCTGCCTGTCCCTCACAATGATCCTTTATGGGTTTTGGATATATTCAATTCATATTTTCTTTGATGTTTTGGGTTGACTTCAAAAGGAATAGAAGGACAAAGATTCTTTACTTTGGAATACACAGCTGGACTTTAGTGTGCAGTATATGTATGTAACGGGTGGTTAGGTTACAGTGTTTGGGCGTGTGAATTTGACATTTTAAAACTGTTTTCATTTCTTTTATATATAAATTTGACAGTTCATTTTCTAACTAATTTCATTAAATATTTTAATTTAAGTTTAAAGGTTTTCACTTATTGCTTTATTTATTTTTAAATTTATTGTAACTTCTTGATTTCTTTTACTTTTCAGATGCAACAACTGTTCCATGAAAATTACGAACATAATCGGAAGGGTTATATCCAGGACCTTCACAACAGCAAAATCCATGCAGCCATAACACTGCATCCCAACAAAAGGCCTGCCTACCAATACAGGCTTCACAATTACATGCTCAGCCGCAAAATTTCTGAACTTCGCTACCGCACCATCCAGCTCCACCGGGAGAGTGCTCTGATGAGCAAGCTCAGTAACAGTGAAGTGAGTAAAGAGGACCAGCAGCTGGGAGTGATGCCTTCTTTCAACCACTTCCAGCCTCGGGAGAGAGATGAAGTGATAGAATGGGAGTTCCTGACAGGGAAGCTCCTTTACTCAGCATCTGAGAACCAGCCTCCTCGACAGAGCATCAACAGCATCCTAAGAACAGCACTGGATGACACAGTCCTACAGGTGATGGAGATGATCAATGAAAATGCCAAGAGTAGGGGACGGCTCATTGACTTCAAGGAAATTCAGTATGGCTACCGCAGGGTTGATCCCATGCATGGGGTGGAGTACATTTTGGATTTACTCCTCTTATATAAAAGACACAAAGGGAGGAAACTGACTGTGCCAGTGAGACGTCATGCCTATCTTCAGCAGTTGTTCAGCAAGCCTTTCTTTAGAGAAACTGAAGAGCTAGATGTCAACAGGCTTGTTGAGAGCATTAACAGTGACACTCAGTCGTTCTCCTTTATATCTAATTCTTTAAAGATACTATCTTCTTTTCAAGGTGCCAAAGACATGGGAGGGCACAATGAAAAGAAAATACACATTCTTGTTCCTCTCATTGGAAGGTATGACATTTTCTTGCGATTCATGGACAACTTTGAAAAAACTTGTCTTATTCCAAAGCAGAATGTAAAGCTGGTCATCACCCTTTTCAGTAGGGATTCTGGCCAAGATTCCAACAAGCATATTGAGCTGATCAAGGAATATCAGAATAAGTACCCTAAAGCAGAAATGACCCTGATCCCAATGAAGGGAGAGTTTTCCAGAGGTCTTGGTCTTGAAACGGCTTCTTCCCAGTTTGACAATGATACTTTGCTGCTATTTTGTGATGTTGACTTGATCTTCAGAGGAGACTTTCTCCAACGATGTAGAGACAATACAATTCAGGGACAACAGGTGTACTACCCCATCATCTTTAGCCAGTATGACCCAAAGGTAACCAATGGGGGAAATCCTCCCACTGATGATGACTTTGTCTTCTCAAAGAAGACTGGATTTTGGAGAGACTACGGCTATGGAATTACCTGTATTTATAAAAGTGATCTGCTGGGTGCGGGTGGATTTGATACCTCAATACAAGGCTGGGGACTGGAAGATGTAGATCTCTACAATAAAGTCATTCTATCTGGCTTAAGGCCCTTCAGAAGCCAAGAAGTAGGAGTGGTGCATATTTTCCATCCAGTCCATTGTGACCCTAACTTGGACCCTAAGCAGTATAAGATGTGTTTAGGATCCAAGGCAAGTACTTTTGCCTCAACCATGCAACTGGCTGAACTCTGGTTGGAAAAACATTTGGGTGTCAGGTATAATCGAACTCTCTCCTGACAGTCCAGGCAACACATATTGCCTTTTTAAAGGGGAGTTTACCTCATTGTTGGTTGTTGTTATTTTTATTTTATTATTGTTATTTTTATTATTATAATTATTATTGTTATAATTTTATTTTGTTATCCTGGTCTTAAACTACTCTTGGTTATCTTCCAAAGAGTGTTTGTTGACCTCAAGCAAGAAGAGTCTGCAGTTCACTGATATTTCAGATTTCTACTGAAGTCAATTATGTATTACTTTTATATATCTTTATTCGAGATTGAGTTAAATCGTGGCAATCAAATGACTTTTGAAGCTCATTCATCGTGAGAGACAGCTTAGAAGAATGTTCTCTTGGGGCTTAAAGATGCAATATCGACTTTTATTTCGTTTGTTAAATTCAATGTGATACAAATATTTACTGGTGAAAGGTACCACAAAAGTGCTTTATGCTTCCTATGGGGAAGGGACTCTGTAACATAAACTTGAGTTTTGTAATTTATACAAGGACTTAAAAATATAGACAATAATTTTCTTCATCTTTAGAATTTTTAAAGTAAATGAACACTTATGATTGTATGTTTATTTTTTAAAAAAAGTTTTAAAAATTGAGGAGTTTTGTTCCACAAGCAACCGGTACGGGCTACCCTGGTCTTCTGACAATTATGTACTCCTCACAACTGTCTGCTATAAATGCGAATGAACTTTATTTTCTCAAGGAAATATGATTTAATTAAATATTCATGTACATTTTAGAAGCTTTATGAAACGATGTCCTTCATTTGCTGGCAAGAAGATAAACTATGACAGAACCTGGTTATTTATAATAAAACACAGGTATAACAGTAGTCTTTTTCAAAAACACTGAAAAGTTTGTGTTGTTTCCTTTCAGTCATACTTGATGTAATTCTTAGGGGTCATACTCACCAAAATGTGCTTATTATAGAGACTGGAAAAGTTAACAAGGGATTATAGGCATATTGTTTGTTTTGTTACGCTTTAAATCCTGGCCTTCACAACTGATTAAAATGAGTGGCTTCTTTATTCAATAACTTACATTCCAGGAGAAGCATTCTTCCTCAATCTCCTCAGCTTTGTGATCAAACTGAACCAAGAACAGGTCAGAAACTGCCTTTAATTGGGGTTAATTTGGGTTCTCACAAAATGTAGCATATTGTACATATTGTTCTACACTCTCGTTTTCTTTTTTCGCACAATAGGACCAAAAATTGCATCAAAGTTGATTTGAAAGCTGTTGTAAGTTGCTACCATTATTTGGAACTAATTGCCAGGAGGCCATACAGCATTTGCCTTAGCGACGGGTTTTGTACAGGGTAATAGTCTCTTTTAGAGAGGACACTTGGGGAGCCTCAAAAATAGATAACGTTGCTTAATGTTGTGACAAATATGATGGCACTCTCCTTGACCGTAACATATAATCTTAATAATGTCAGACTCATTAGAAAGGAATTACTGGCACTTTTAGACGTTAAAAATCTTGACAGGGCCAACAATTCAGAATTGATCTCTGCTCTAATATTTCCTCAGCCTTCATAAACCCTTACTTTAATAGCTTATTTTCCTACATCATGTGGCTTACTTTTTCAGCGGGTTTTATTTTCCTGAGCAGTAAATATATTATCATGCAGTAAAGATAGTCATTTGGAAAGATCTACTGCAAACTAATAATTGTTAATTATTTCATTAATGAAGAAAAGAAATCAGTGTCTGCCCATCTGTTTAGCTTAGACAACTGAAAAAGAGCCCGAGTTGTGAGGCGACTACCCAGGGATGAAGTGGCATTCTCTGTAATACTCACGGAATTATGCTGATGAAACAAGGAAATGCAGAGATCTCATGTGACCTTAATTACATACACACATACTGTACTAAAATTAAGATAAGTGCATTTAAGTGCTGTTTTGTGACTTTGCATTAGGCTTTCCTATGATTTTTTTTTTCAGGCACTGCAGTATTTCCTGACTGAAGATTTATTGGAATTATATTAGTGAAATTAAGAGTGTTTTCCTGTCTGTGCAGTGTGTATTATTTAAAACTCCTTTAAGGTTGAAGGGCAACACAGCATGAATGCAACCTGAAGCATCATATACGTATGTTACCACCATTACCTTATTTGGATAGCTGCGAGTTTCCTGTTTAAGCATCACTCCAATAACAGTTCAATCCTAGTGATCATCTTCTGTCCACTCAATATCATTCTATGCATTTTTCTTGCATTATCCTTTTATTTTTTTATTTTTTAAAGTTTATTTATTTATTTTGAGAGAGAGAGAGAGAGAGCATGAGCAGGGGAGGGGCAGACAGAGAGAGGAAGAATCCCACACAGGCTCCACACTCAGCGTGGAGTTCAACACGGTGCTCAGTCTCATGAAACTTGAGATCATGACCTGAGCCAATATCAAGAGTTCAATGCTTAACAGACTGAGCCACCCAGGTGCCCCTACTTGCATTGTATTTTTAAACATAATCCTCTCAACATCTCTCAGAATACTAATATTATTTTCTTTATTCAACAGATATGGACACTGAGGCCATGAATAATGAAGTCACATGTCCTGAGTTACAATACTGGCATACTGTCCTTAAGATTTAAGTTAACTCTTGTCCAGACCTGGAGCAGCTGTCTTTCCACGTGAACCCAAGGCTTCTCAGCTGTTGGGGTGATATAGAAGACAGTGGGCAAAGTTCTGGCTGACACCATGAACACGTTTGATCCGCCGTTCAGCTTACGTCTGCTGTATGCTCATTCTGGGCCAAACTTAGTTTGCTGATGTTTGGTCAGTAAGAGCCCGTTCAGGCTTTTCATCCCAGTCTTCCACCACTTTGCTAGCTCCCTCTGAGTAGCACTGTGTTGGGGAAAGGTTTCTTCTAATTGCTTGCTCACAGGTCACTGGATATCAGCCAGTAGAAAAAAAAATGCTGAGGGTTCCTGATGCCAGCAGCAGCCCTTATCTCTGTGGTGTCAGCCTGCTGAGTACAGAAGCTGTCTGCCATGAGCACCACCATGTAATTGTGTGATTATTTATGTCATTTGACCCATACAGACTTGGCATAAAGCAACTTTGTCAGAGCTATTTCTGAATCTAAGAGTTGAACCCATTGTGCCTAGTAATAGACGAAGAACAATAGGAATAAAATCCCCAAGTGTGTGAACTGATAGTCCAAACAACAGAATGGAATGCTCCCTCGAAAGGGAAACTATAAAGTCCCACTGTTTCTAACATAAGAAAGCTGGAGCCCATCTCCTCCAGTCAGCAGCTCCATTTCGGGGCTACTCTGGTTTCACGTGGTTGCATTTTCAGATCAGGCCTGGGCAGTTCCTTCTTCCAGGAAGAGGACCCAGAAGACAAGGGTCCTTTCTAATGGCTTGGATTGCCCAGATTGCCTGTCATGCTGCCAGTCTTGTTAAGCCCTCACCTGGTACTGTCTTGTTCTTGAGGGAATGGCCTAAGCCAGACGTGGTCCTAGAAAGAGACTGGTGTCTTCCCTCTTTACCTCTCTGCACCCAAGACAAAATATTTTTAAGCAGGTAAAATATACCAAGATGAGTTGCAAAGAGCCAGTAAAATAGCTATAGTTCTATTTCAGCCATGGTGATGAGATATGTATAGGAGAAGGAAGGCATCGACACATTTGAATTATGTGGCCAAGTTGCCTTTCTTTCCCTACCACTTGCTTTCTGAGTCACTGCAAGTCCCCTTCAAAGTTCTTACCCTAGGGATGTCTGTAAGAAGGGACTGCTAAATTCTGCAGGAAATTGTACACTTAAGCTCTCCTTTGTGCTTGATTATTGAAGGCGTATCTCTATGATTATGGATATTACAAGGCAAGTGGGCAAAATAGTGTCCTAAGGGACAATACAGGTATCTGTTATCACTTCTTAGTGCTGCTGACTTGTCTACCCTTCCCATCTCCACTCTTTTCTTTCTTAATTTTTTTTAACGTTTATTTATTTTTGAGACAGAGAGAGACAGAGCATGAATGGGGGAGGGTCAGAGAGAGAAGGAGACACAGAATCCGAAACAGGCTCCAGGCTCCGAGCTGTCAGCACAGAGCCCGATACAGGGCTCGAACCCAGGGTCCGCAAGATCATGACCTGAGCCGAAGTCTGACGCTCAACCGACTGAGCCACCCAGGCGCCCCTCCCCATCTCCACTCTTATTAGCATCCCAATTATTGTCAAAGATAACAATACGTGCTGAGTCCAGAAGCCTTCTAGATCTTCAGTTTTTGAGCAGTGGCAACAGTAGAGGCAGGATGGAGATGCAGAATAGATGCCAGTGCAGCTCGGCCTCTGTGTGCCCCCCAGCCTCTCGCAGGCACCAGCTGCACTGCCAACGTTGCCTTGACAGATGGTGGGGATGAGGAGACTTCCTTCGGCGGTGATTCATGCCCCCAGGTGGCGACATAGTCACATCTGCCAACCACCTGGTGCTGGCACAAAGCTGCCAGCATTTTCATTTCCATCTTCAATTTTGACATCCACTTGTCTGTTTCCCTCTTCCTTTCTCATGTCGGAAGCTGCCAAGGGCTGTGACATATTTAGCGTTCTCTTCCGTGAAGGATTTTACTTCAGTTGAATTAAATAGATACGTATTCATCTGTAGGTTGATTTAAAAGTAGAGATGGGACGCCTGGGTGGCTCAGTTAAGCGTCTGATTCGGCTCAGGTCATGATCTCACAGTTAATGGGTTCAAGTGCTGAGTCCTGCTCTGTGCTGATAGCTAGGAGCCTGGAGCCTGCTTCAGATTCTGTGTCTCCCTCTCTCTCTGCCCTTCCCCCCTCACTCTCTGTCTCTCTCTCTGTCTCTCTCTCAAAAATAAGCAAACATTAAAAACATTTTTTTACATAAATA